TGATCTTTATACCTTTTTTTTTAAATGTAAACATTGAACATTCACACATGAAAACACACTAAAAATATTAGGATCACACTATATATACATACATTTTTGTCCTATCTTTTGAAGAAATTAACATTATATTATAAGTGTATTCCCCACAGGCTTTTATTCCTGGAGAACACTTTTAATTTCAGTAAAATGTTCCATTTTGTGGTGTAAGATTTACAGTAGTTGATTCCTCAAAATCCTGTTGCATGACCTGGGTGAGGAGGCTTGGGGAATCAACTTTTGTATCAATGATTAGTTCAAGCGTGGGGAGCCAGATGCACCTGAGGTCAGTGAGATAGGAGAGGATTGCAGGGGGGTTCTGGATGGATTGAAAGGGGCAACCTTGCTTTGGCAGCTCTTTATGACATTGAGGAACCATCGTCAGGACAGACATCTGACACTTGGAGAAAGGCCAAACTAAGAGAAAGACTGAAAATCAAGTCAGAGCCCCATGTAGAGTGTCTAAAACCCATCCTATTTTTAGTCTTCCTGTCATATGATTCAATAAAATTCCTTGTTGTTGGAGCTGGTTTGAGTTATTTACAGCTGAAAGCATTGTAGAGCATGTATATGGAATCCAGCCCTGCTGACTTGATTCTGATCTTTTTATACACCAAACCTAAATCTGGCAATGCACAATAGCTTACCAGTAAAAGCACAGACTTTGAAATCATACATGCATAGACTCCTTACTCTGCTAACATGTGACCTTGAGCAGGTTATTTATCCCCAGCAGGGTGCTGGTTTCATCTTCTGTAAAATAAGAATATTAATAGTTATTTCACAGACTCTTAATGATGCTGATTGTTCTCACAGGAATATGACTGTTGGCACCATCCTCAGGTATAAAAATAGCCAGCAGAAATTTGTATATACATCTTTAAAAATTCTGCAAAGTATTTAAGAAAGCATAGATTACTTATAATCTCACTCTGCTAAGCAAGCAACACAGTGATTGACCTTCTGGTTTAATCAGTGCCCACAAAGTAGGAAACCACAGTTGTTTTTCTAACTCTGCCTGGGTTACTTTGACAACTGTGGCCAATCTGCTCTCCTTCAACATGCCCTGGGGAGTGCTAACTTTCAGAGGAGAGCAGCATAAGCTTCCTAACCAGCAATCTCACATCTCTAGGGGTCTAAAGAGAATTTTTTTTTTTTTTGGCTAAGTGCTTTATGTACACTAGTTCTGGGAGGACAGAATTCCTGGCATACAATTAGAACCCATTTATAGGTGCCCAAGGGGAACATTATAGGCTGGTGCTTACTGCATTGGTTTTCAGGCAGTAGGATGCAGGGTTTTTTGGCTTTTGGTTTTCTGTTTGTTTGTTTGTTTTTTGGCTTATCAATATGCCAGCAAAGCCTGAGTATTGTCTCCCTTTTAATTCTGCTGGAACAAACTATCCAGGAGGATATACTTTCTGATCTTGTATTGTCTACCTCTGAATGGGAAACCTTGGTGGTTTCAAAAGGCAATTCAATTTGAGGTTGTTCCATATTTTTAAAGCACAGATACTAACATGTCAAGATACATATGGAAGAGACATTGTGAAGATGAATTACTGCTTACATGAAAGGGGTGGAGTAGAGACCTGTTATTGGCCAAGAGGATCGTGGGTCCATTGAATGAGTGGATGCTTTTTCGGAGTAAAGACTTACATCATCTCCCAAACATACTGGATTGAGTATGGAATCAGCCTTACAGTCTGAGTAGCTAGCTCTACACCAGAACATTTTCTCAATCACATATTCCCTTGCCTGAATGTAAGACCTTCTCTTACAGCAATCTTCCTCTCTCTCTACAATCTTAGCATATAGAATTTCTTTTAAAAATGCACACACACTGTTAACTTTTCATTTTCCCTGGTACTTCCCTGGAATGTTTCTTTTTCCCTTCTTTGCCTCACCTGCTCCTACCTAACTTCAAGCTTCAGGTTAAATTTGGCCCTCACGGGGCAGTCTCAAGCCCTTTAGACAAGGAAGCATCCTCTGTTTTATACTCCAGGGCACAGCAGACTTCGTGCTTGGTAGCATAACTACACATACAATTACGACCCTCAGCAGGAATCTTTTTTAAAAAATATATTGACTAGAGAAGAGCTCATTTTCTCTCATACCTTATTGTGAATAAAGATTTTGAATTGAGTTCCTTCAGGTTAACCAGAGGTGATGGACATGCAGTGAGATGCTTGGCTCTAGGTTGGCCTCTGGTGGTCCTGATTTTCCTTTGGGCATCTGGTCAAGAGTTTTTAATAATAACCAAGAGTAATGTTGAGAGCTTTTGTGAGTTATCTCATTGGTACTGTGATGTTGGTATTCGTGATGGCATAATAGACATAATTATACATAATCTGGGAAATTGATATTCCTATTCTTCCACAGAAGACCGAGGAATTTTCACAGAGGATATTTCTTAAAAGCATCTTGAGTCTATCTACTTCTTTAAATTTTTATAATACACTTTGGTGAAGGTCACCATATTTCACTCTTATAAGCCATTCTCCAAACCAAGCAATCTTTTAAAAAGCAGAAAATGAGTGTAAGTCAGTTGCACTGCTAAATTGATGCCTCTGATGCTTCCACTTTTACAAATTTTAAAATTCATAGTAGTGGGAAAGTATTTCATTTTTTTAAAAGATTTATTTATTTATACAAGAGCTGGGGTACAGGCCAGATGCATGGGAGGGTGAGGGGATTCACCAGAGACAGAGTGGGGAACAGAACAGGCAGACTGACGAAATACACTGCTGAGGGGAGCAGCGGGCAAGACAGGAGCGGTCTGCTTCGCCATGTGGGATTCTCACCAGCTGGCCGGGATAGAACCCCCGCTGCAGAGGCTGCAGACAGCTTCACAGTGTGGTGCTCAACCGCCTGTGCCACCAGAGAGGCCCTGGGAAAGTCTTTTAATGACAAGGGGGAATGAAGAAAGAAGATGGTCTTGAATCTTCCAAACTAGGCTTTGTATATGAAGAGTCAAAGTCTTGAGGAAAACAAAGTATGGAGATCATGCTAACAAAAAAAAAAAAAAAAAAAGGATTCAAAAAAAAGGTACGATGGAGTAAAATCTGTTTTTCCTCTCCTTGACAGTTTGAGAGACCAAGTTGACCAAATGAGAGGAGGAGGGAGAAAGGCTAGGAAAAGGGGAGTTCAGAGTCTGAGTGATGGACATGGATCCAATGGAAGACACACTAGATTTGGGGATTAGAGAACATGAAAGCACTAAGGTCCCATTTCCTGCCTGAATCTCTGAGCGGAGATAGGCTCTTAGCAGACCATACCCAAGAAGGGGTGACTGTAGTTAAGTGGAAGTGGTGAGTAGACATAGTAGAGAGAAGACTTATCACCACCTTCCATCTCATCTTGAGCCTCCATGATCGCCTTTGGTTTTTTGGTGGTATGAGCAAAGAAGTAGGCTGAGAGAGAACTGTAAATCAGAGGTAGGTGTGGGGGTGTGGTGCAGAGAGAGAGTGAGAGAGAGCTCATATCAGGGAGAAGAGGCACAGAGAACCTAGGGATGTCGCTGGGGGGGATGGTACGCAACATTGGCACAAATGTTTGGAACAGATGTGAAAACCAAGACCAGCTGAGCTGAGGCAGATACTAGTGTCTGGCCCCAGGTGCCTCTGCCATGTCAGGATGATTAAAAGCCCTGGACCCACTCCCTAACTTAGTTTACTCCCTAGGGAAGAAAAGAGAAGCTTAAGATGGAGCTTGAGAATTTTAAATTCACTGACTACTTAACCCAGAAAGATCTATTTTGAGTTTTAAATAGAAGTGATTGAATTCACATTCAACCATAAGATTTGGTTTTCTGTCATTTTTGAAAGTGGGAACTCAAAAGCTAAGTCTGGTTGTGAGAAAAGTAAATGATTATGCTTTGCAAATCAGTCCACGATTATGTAAAATTTGAACTCAATAAAATCTTCTCTTTCAAATCTGCGTGTTTACATAGGTGTGGTGTTGACTATGCAGTGAATGGGCTTTGGTCTTGTCCTTTTTCTGCAGAGGCTCAGAGGACTTTGTGACACTAAATGAAAGAACTAGGTCAGGCTACTTGTTCAGAGTGAATGCCAAGATGAAGGCAGAATTTGGCTTTTCTTTATCCTGAGGCTTTGGGGAAAGAAATAGTTTTTATGGGATTTAGAAATCTGTGGTAGAAAAATTTTCCCTGGGTATCTTTTTTTATTTACCTGTCTTTTGGAAAAATGTTTTACACTTAAAAAAAAAAAAAGTCAGATAATAATAGGAACAAAGGAATGAAGAAGGTTCCTCATCTGAATTAGAAAATAATTCTTGGCAGTACAAAAGCAGTTCTTTTCTTTCCTTAAGTTCTTGTTTATGGATCATTAGTTTCTTGATGAGAGATTGGGAGAAGACAAACTAAAAGCTAAAACACTACAGACAAATAGACAATTGAAGATTCATCTTAAATGAAAGTGAATTTCTTGGTAATTGCCATTGCACTGAGAAAATATAATTCAATTTACGATATTATCGTCTTAAATTCATGTCTTAGAGAGTGCCAGGAAGGTGACCTTTTTGGAATAGCACATATTGTTTTCAGGTGCTATCCAAAAGTATAGGGAAATCTCTACTGTACCCCAACTTGCCACATAATCGTACCTATGCCTGTACTGGCATTAGCCTGGGACGGATGTAGTTATATAGGGGTTACATTTGTTATAATCAATTTTTTTTCATTATGTGTCAGTAATATTTCTACAGCGTGCAACTTGTCAATAGCTTAGGTTTCGCCTGTGTCTTCATGTGTGTGTTTTTCATTCCATGAGTTAGGTTGTTTTCTCTACGCCAGCACCGTCCTGCGCTAGGTGCAGCTTGCGTTAAAATCAGAGTTCAGAAGATTCAGAAAAAAGCCCTTGACCCAAAACAAAACACATCAGCAGCTATACTCATGCTCTCCTTCCTTTTCTCTGCCCTCCTCCTTGTTGCCACTTGCCTCTGCAAAGGGAAAGACAACTTGCTCCTTAAAGGGAGCCCAGGGACAGAGCCAAGCATGTTTTGGAAGTGAGAGGCAGGAGCCTGAAGACTGATGAAGAAGAAAGGAGGATATTGGTGAGAAAAGATTTGAAGGAGGTGAGGAGGTGGGAGAGGAGTGCCTAGGAGATGCAAGGAGTGGTGTCCAGAGCACAGATAAACACAGGACCCCAGAGTGAGGGAAGGGGAAATTGCCCCTTTGATAAGAGTCCATGTGGATCTGTAAAGATTAAGAGGTTGATTTAAGAGTCCAGAGATGTTCATCTGGCCATTTTGGCATGGTCAGTTAGACACAGCAATATCTTTTGATAAATGCTCCAATACTGAAAGTGTTCCATGCTGGGAGGGGGAGGGGCACCTTGAATGATAGCACCTATCCCCCTGGTGGGAGCCTCCTCTGGGTGGGCACAGGACCTTTCCCAGCTAGGATGGCTCCACAACGACCCTCACCCCCATGTACAGATGAGGGTGTGGATCTGACTAGGAGCTTCTGCTCTAAGACTTGATGTAGCTGCTGTAAAGGTAAGCGCAAGAAAATCAAATTACCTTTGCTCTTTGTTTGAGAGGTAAATGTTGAAGTTTTCATGGAGGTTATGAATTTTAAGAAATTTCAAAGAAAGTTTAAAATTTCATTTGGCAAGGTGCCAGTGAAATCTGACTCTCTTCAGTTCTAATTCTCATTCAATGGAACTTCTTTGCAGACATTGAAGAAGAAAACAGATGCTTCTCTGCATAGCTTATCAGTTGCACAGCGCTGAGGACTGGCTTTGCATTGGAGCCGCTGGTGCTGCCCAGAGTTTCAGGCTGGAATTGGAAGCCGGCGGTGCTGGATGCACAAGCCCAGACACAGAGTGAATACTGTGAGTCCACCTGATGCTTGACAAAATGTGCCTGGATTTGTTTCCTGGAGAGAACCTGAAGCTACTGGATGGAAAAAGCATGCAAATGCGATATAAAAATTGAGCAACAATTTGCTTGTCAAGGGCAAAATGCCGATGACTTTCATTTTTTGCCATCTCTCACTTTGCCTTTCTTGTTCTTTTTTTCCTTACTGGTCCTCCCTACTCTTTCCACCCTTACTGTCCCCATAACATCCTTACACCGACAATGTTTCTCCCTTATTTATTTTCATCTTCTTAGAGGCCATGACGATGAAAATTGTATTTTCTAGACAAAAGTTACATCACATGATGTAACTTGACAAGAGATTTGTAAATGTACTGATATGAAAGTCATACAAATTATGATTACAATGAATTTACCTGCAGATATGTCTAAAGTCTGATTCCAAATGACCTTCTCCCTTATTCCCTTTTCCTTGGCCTTTCTACCAACATTCCTTTCTGTCAGTTTGCTCATCTCACCTGGACAATTGAATCAATAAAACAATATCCCGGGTTTTTGATCGACTGCTAATACCTATTATGGACCTTAGTGATTATTTTTGTGTGTCCAGGACAACTTTCTTTCTTTCTTTTTTTTTTTTTAAAGTATCCCTTTTAATGAATCACTTTTGACAACCCTCCCTCCCACTCACATGAGAAAGGTGAGTTTAATCTTTTAATGACTCTGCCTCTCTGGCTATGGTGATCAAAATTGGCCAATCGGAGCCCTTCCTTAGGACTCCCTCCCTCCCTCCTTCCCTCCCCACCTCCTTTCCTCACTTTTTTCTTTTCCTCTTTCCTCTCTGATATTTGAGGATGACAGCACATAAACCTACAGTTACCAGTATCCAGGTCTCCCGCTATAGAGACTGTTTGAGATAAACAGCTAACATCTGAGAGTTCAAGAGAGTGCCATGGCGGTCATGCCGCTGCTTTCAGTATCCTCTTGGACCTAGCTCTACCCTTATCTTCCTGCACTTTCCCTACTCCTAATGCACATCTGGTGGCATTTCAGGCAGTCTGCAAATGGAGAAGTAGCAGTTTGCAGCAGAAGCTTCACCCAGATGCTTCTCAACTTGCACCACAGCAGTGCCATTCTGTGCCACTCATTAACGGTGCACTTTGCCAAGGATTTCTGAAGCATTTAGAGGTAGATGAACTGGTGTCTCTCTTCAGAGTGGACGGCAATGTCTAGCCACTCCCTGAGTCTGAAGGAATCTAGAAGGGGGGGACACTAACCTGCACTAAGCAGAGCTTCCCCACTCTGCCCTGTGGGTCTGATCTCCCTGACAGCTCTGCTTCAACTTTGAGGTTCAAAATCCATGTGGCAGGATCCTGGGAACAATCTGCACTGTCGTAGTGGAAATGACATTGATTTCCTCAGAACCATGCTGCTCTTCAGCTAAGTAGAGCCCCGATAACTTCTTTTTTTCCAAAGAAAGTTCTGACAGTTGACCTGCTGCGCAGAAAATTCTCAGGCTGGAGGTCAAGGTTCCTGAGAACCACAAAGTTTCTTTTTGCCCCCAAGTCTTTGAAGCTGACCTCTAGGAATGCAGATGTCCTCAGCTTGGTCCCTGGAGTGGATGGAAGATAGTTTAAGGCTAAATGGATCCTCAAAACTTTGAAGAGGGTAAGTGTGCTTTTTGATTTCCTGCCTGAGAATCTGTTGAGTGTGCCTGGTTTTGAAATATCCTCTTTGAGAGTCTATGTTGACAAGTAACAGCATTTCTGCTTTTGTTCATGGTGGGAAGGAGCCTTAAAGAGCATAACAAAGAGTCCCAGGAATCCTTTGTGAAGCTTCCAAGAATGATCCAAGGACCATCATGTCCCTGGTGATGGTCACTAGAAGCAGTACAATATATGATTAAGACACTCTATGGGTATGACGTGCTAGTGTCCTAGCATCTACATGGCATCCCTAAGAGACAATAATAATAGCAGTGGAACTTTCATTAAATGCCAGTTACATACCAGGTGTTCTCCTAATCATGCTACATGTATTTTAATTCCCACAACTGCCAGGTATGTACCTCTCTCATCTTCATTTTATGGTTGGGGAAAATGAAGGAGAGAGATGAAATGCATTGTGCAAGGTCACTCAAAATAAGGCACAGCAATCCATGTGACTTCTGGGGATAGTTCATAAGTAGTTGTGCAGATTCTAGTAGTTTTCTTGGAACACTTGCTCTTGGAATCTCTCTAGCAGAATCCAGTCACCTGTAAAAAACAAACAAACAAACAAACAACAACAGCCAAGAATTCAAAGGGAGGCCCATGTGTGAGTGCTCTGGTTGACAGCCCTAGCTGATCCATTGGTCACTAAATCCCCGCTGGATGTTTAACCCAGTTGAGTCTTCAGAAGACTGTAGCCCCAGTCAATCAATATATGACCCAGCTGCAACAGGGACTGTAAGCAAGAGCCGTCTGGCTGAACCAGGTCAACCCACAGAACCATGAAAACTAGCAATACAGCATTACTTCAAATCACAGTTTTAGGATAGCTTATTACAGCACATAGGTAGCCAGATAAGGAGTAAGTGGTAGAGCTGGGACTGAAGTTCAAGCAACTTGGGCATAGACACTTAGCTTATGACCTGTATTCTACACTAACACTCCAGTGCTTTTTGGTGTTATGGCCATGATGGTGGTGGTGGTGGTGGTGGTGGTGGTGGTGATGATAGATGATAATGATGATGATGATGTGATAGATGATGATGATGATGATAGATGCTGCTGCTGATAATAAATGTATATAGATGCTTGTCCTTAAACAGGCAAACATGCACACTTGTAAAGTAAACACAGTGGATGTGTAGAGAAAACATATATATTATGGAGTAGATTAAACATGGGATTTTAAGTCATGCGGACCTGAGTTTGAATCTCAGCTTCACTGCCGCCTAGCTTTGTGAAATTGGATGTGTTTCTATGAGGTGGGGACTTAATGTAGAGGATGGAGTTCTCAAACCAATGTGCATAGTAGATGGTACCTCACATTCTTTCATGACAGCTCCAGAGTCTCTGTGAGAGCATGTATTCTTTAAAGTCAGATCTTTTCTCATTGAGATACTGTTGACATCTGAAGCCAATGTTGAGCAGAGCCAGACATTTTTCTTCCTGTTTGAAATATCTGGAGTCATTGGTGGTATTGAAAACTGGGGATTTGTTTTGTATTTTGAGTGAGTGTATATAGAGGAAATCACTGAAGATAAATGAGAAAAGCAATGATACTCTTTAAAAAAAATTAAGTGGGATTGTGTAAGGTAGAGGAAGAAGTGGTTTTGGGAATCTGGTAAGATTTAAATCCTGACTCTGCTATGTTATCTGTTATCTGACTCTGTTATCTGTGTGATCTTGGGTACACAGTTCCTAGAACTCTCAACAAGATAAATTGTAGAGTTCACCAACTAAAACATAATGGGAATGGTGGCATAAGTCAAGCATGTAGTTGGGAGCCAGCCAAATGTCACAAAAGTCTTGAAGAAGATCCCAAAAATTATGTAGTGCATTAGAGGTTCCCAGTTGCCTCTTCCTGTTAGTGACATCAATGTGATAAGTCATATGTGAATGAAGTAAACTGCAATAGGGTAGGAGTGATGGTGATGTAGGGAGCGCCCTCTAGGGGCTGGAGGAGTAGTGAGCACCTCTCCAGGTTCTACTGTGATGGTCAGTAAAAGTGTTGAGACTTAACGATTGAGAACTCTTGGAGCCCTGAGCATGCCCACTGTGCTGTTGCTGGAGCCAGGGTAGAGACTTTTAGAATCACCTTAACCCACGTTGTCTTGCCATCTCTAGCTATTGGCATCACTCAGGAAGGCATGTCCTATCCCACAGATGAGGAAATTTCATGGCAATTGGCTGGAGTTATTAGGAATTTTCAGCAGCCTACCCTGTATTGTGCCTTGTTTGCTGCTGCACATTAGGGTGTTCCCTGAGGTGATGAGATGTTGAAAAGGCAATTATTATAGATAATGATTTTGATGTGATAATATTAGTTGATTTGAATTTTACGTCATCATTCCTGGATGTATCAAATGTTACTTTATTTTCCTGAATTAAATTTACTCCTGCAAGTCATTCATTTATTCATGCATTTATGGCACTAAGAAAAATTATTCACAAGTTGAAAATGAGAAAGAAAAAAAAATCAACTCCTGATATTCCAGAGGGCCTTACATCACAAGTTAGTCTATTAGATAAAAACAAACTCACAGAGTTTCAGCTTTAGATAAGGTTACCCACAGATGAATGATATCAAGATTACTCTGATAAGAAGGGAAAAAACAAGACCGCAGTTTTTTAAGTACACATAAAACCAAGAACACTATGATATTCAGAAAATACCAAGTACTTTTTTTTTTTTTTTTTGGCTAAAATGAGTATCATTTCTTTACCAGTCTCACTTCTGTCCTTGTTCTAGTCTCCCTTCCTGTGGATAAGGCTCAGTGAGCCACCCAGTCTTAGAATTGCCCTGTTTCCTGACAGCACCAATCTAGAGCAAATCCTGGCTGTCTTAGACCTCTACTGTAACTACACAACAAAACCTCAAATCCTGTAATAGTTTCCTTATCATATTCTCTAACTGAGACTCTCCACAGTTCCCCATGGCCAGAGTCCTCCCTCCCTACAATGAGTAATAAACATGGCTCGTTCAACTATCAGTGTATTCTTGGTGGACTTTGATTGAAAGTCATCAACAAAATTGAGAGAAAAGGCTGATTATACGGCATTTTAATTCCATGCCAAGAGCAGTGGTTAGTGGGTCTGAAATATCCTGTGACTCTTTAGGAGAATAAACTTTGTATTATTGATTAAATAATTCTGTAAACTTACTAAGGTATGAACATTTTTAGATGACCTTTTTTCTTTTCTACAGAGCAGATGATAACAAAGGTTCTGATTTTATTGCCCTGAAGGATAGTAACCAGTTTTGTACTTAATGTCGAAGTCTAATTTCAATCTTTCTTTTTTCCCACTCATAATACAAATCTTCGTTTTTAAAAGTTCTTTGAATTTATCATTCTTTTTCTACCCTCACTAATGGTCTCTATTGGTATGTTAATCATGCTTTGACATTTTGAGACTTATACTCTGCTAGTTTGGACTATAAAATGAAGTGCTGAAATAGAGAATCTCTTGGGAAAAAATTCAAGATGTGTTTTGTACTACCCCTGTTAACATAGGCTTTGAGTGAAGGCGTGAAGTGGAGCGGAGGGGCTGCAAGCAAAGGGTAGTTGAGGATTGTAGTGAAGCAGAGTTTATTTTCAACTCATTTAAATTCTCCCTTGATCCAGTTTAACCCCCACCCCATCCCAGGGTGCCAGCCTGTAGGTCATATCTCTAGAGCAGCGATTGGATGTCTTAGAGGCTGTTATTAAATCATGATTAGACTTTTCTTCTTTGCTCTAAATAATGTAGGAACTCATCAAATATGTATCTACATTTGCACATCTGGGAAAATGTGCTGGGGTTTTAAAAAATGATCCTATAATGGGTACGACTCTCACAGTGATCTTTGACCCAAAGCGATAAAATCTCAGCTGGGTTGAGAATGAGACAACTCGAAGCTTTATTCCCAAAAGATTGAGTACAATCCTGTTTTTTTTTAGGATGTAGAGCAGCAATGAATATAAAGGCACTGTGGTTTCTCAGCAGAAAGTCAATGAGGACACATTTAGGAAGCAGAGCTGTAAGATATGAAACTGTATTCAGGAAAGGATTTTTAAAGAATTGTTTTATATGTTGACATTGTTGTGAAACTAACAGTTCTCTGTCCAAGTTGATAAAAAGATGAAAGGCATGTAGGAGACTGAATTCATGGTACCTGATTCTCCCCCTTACATTCCTGTGAATGACTATTTAAAGCAGGTATTCTAACTCCTAGGGCTTGTCATAGAATTTCAGACCAGTACCTCCCACCCAGGAGCCTGGATGGTACACTGGCCAAGGACCCAGGAGATTTAGGCCTTAGATCTACCAAAAACAAGGTGATGCTCTTTGTTCTATGTATGAGATTTTTTCTTCTTCACTTTGGGACTAGAAGAGATGACACTGTAAATCAAGTGATAACCTCT